GCTCACACACTCATGCTCACACATTCTGTCAGGGTGGCTGTGTTGTTATTTTTGGGAGAGCACAGACCAGATTTTGATTACAATGTCTGAGCACTTGCCCTCATGCTGACTCTTTGTACTGACCCAGAAATATATATTTGCAAACAGCATATATAAAGGCAGATGGGAACAAGTGGATGCAGATAGGGAGTGATGGAGAGATTTATATGACTGATCACATGTGACATGTCTAATGATAGATGCTGACAGCAGATCCCCTTAAACTATGTGCTGGACTTGCAAAGGTAACTAGCTGAGACATGTTTCTTGCATTGGATGAATTGAACAGAACTGATGGGAACATGCAGAACACTGTGGGTACCACCGGAGTGCAGGAAGTAATGCACTTACACTTACTGTACACCTCTCTGAAGACTCACCTCATATTTTCACAACTACAAAACACAGCGTAGTCCCAGCTAGCCAGAATTTTAACTATGGATAAAGTCCATTCCTCTTTGCTGCTTTTTCTAGCCCAGGACTGCCCACTTTAACAGGAACAATCCATCAGACTGATATGTACAGCGATCAACTTGTTTTGTTTTAATGTCAGGGCTGGATTATCTGAAATTATCTGATTAGCACAATAATTGGCATGGAAAAACTTTTTTTTTAAATCTCAAACGTGAACAATTTAAAACAAATGTTTTCTGTTTTAATATATATATTAAAAACGGAAAGTATTCAGACCCCCTTAAATAAAATCTCAAACGTGAACAATTTAAAACAAATGTTTTCTGTTTTAATATATACAGTGGGTACGGAAAGTATTCAGACCCCCTTAAATTTTTCACTCTTTGTTATATTGCAGCCATTTGCTAAAATCATTTCAGTAAATTTTTTTTCCTCATTAATAATTTATTCATGTGATGGCAAAGTTGAATTTTCAGCAGCCAAGCCATTGCTCAGTGTTTAGTGTGACATGAGCCTTCAGAAATAGTTTTTTTTATCAACACTCGCTTTAGTTATTGCTTCTGAATCTATAAAATATTCACTAATATCTGATTTTTCTGAAAAGAAACTGTTATTTTCCTTCACATTATACAACTGAAATGTTTTTATTCTGCTTTGCATCAAAGGCCTCGGTCATGCAAATCATTTAATGAAGTGTCCTGTAGTGTCATTTGCATATTTACACAAATAAAAAAAAATCCACTGTAATATGCAGCATTAACTCTCTCTTTCTACAACCAAATTATGTTTTAAAGACAAAACTCTCTTTTAACACCTCTGTGCTCTTTTGAGCTTTAACTAATGCCACAGATTGTACGGGATGTTGACCGCATGACAACAGGAACAGATGTTGCTTCTTAATTACCAAGCTGCTGCCAACTGCATTTCTGAAGGAAAACGGCTTCATTTGATAGTTTAGTGAACTAAATGCTGTGACTGCCACAGGACATAGTAATAATGCTTTCACACTTCACACACAGTAATGCTTATGTGAGTGAAAATATCTAATCTATAACACTTCTCCCACACCAATGAGAGAAGAATTCCACAGAGGCTACAGTTTTGCACTGTAATATGGCTTATAGTTAACAAGCTACTCACAAATCAATTGATTATCTGATCAGCTGTTGACTTGAGTGTTGAGTTGAGTGTTTCAGAGATGCTAATGACTCATGAAAAATATTGAGTAGTTCACTTAGCTGTAAGCTGTGTTTTAAGATGTATTTTAGTGCATAAAATGCAATGCATTTTGAACAAATAAACAAATAGGTAAAATAAAAAATAATATTACATTGCTCAGTAAAATACTTGATTCTGATTAGTCAATTGTGGCATTCTGTGGTCATATATTCTTAATAATAACCACTATTTATGTATAATTAACAGTTGTCTCAGGCAATTGGTTTCCTATAGCTGTACTATAGTTTCATTTTCAAAAATGAAAAATCTGTCATCAATAGCTCAGTGTTTTTTTTTCCATTAACATGTATTTAAATTATGGAGTCTAATGTTGTTTTGGACCCCACTGACTTTCATTAGACAAAAAAGTTGAAAGTTCAGCATAAGATGATTCATACAGGTTTAAACATTACCCAGTATGACATTATTACTGTTTAATTTTCATTCTACTTTATAAAGATTTGCCAATTAAAAAACAAAAAAAAACATACAATTCAGGCCTTTATGATGACCAGCTTACTATACATTATCTTTGAATAGATTTTGCTAATTGAGCTTTAAAGAAACAGACCCTGAAAGAAGTGACCTAACAACACATTTTAAAGAACCTCTTATTATCATTTTATTGGTGGGCACATGTCGATGGCTATATTTTGATGCTGTATATCTGAAAAAGCTCTTCATTCGTGCTAATTTCCTGCTGCAGCTGCTCTCAGGGTTTGCCCCCTTTCACCATACTCATTACATGATTAAGTAAAACTGTGCATAGCTATCAGTGCACTTAGCTGCCATCAGCACTGACACTTGCATGGTGATGTACATTCTGCTCTCCAGCACTCTTTCGCTCACTCTCTCTCTCAATATGAAGAATAAGAGCACTTTCTTGTTTCTGTGCCAAAATGCAGGATATAAAACGCTTCACTGCATTATGATGTGGGGTATCAGTCCTGTTGACCAAATTATGAAAAAGAGAGAATTGTACAGCTAATAATATTATCAGTACACTGCTAGGTAGCTAGCTTTTGAATGATGTGTAGTAGGTTAAATCTGGGAGTCATTGCTAATTAATTAAATGGTAGCCTACATTATAAAACTCTAAATTCTGATTAGACAAGCCACACTCAAAACTGTTGTTTTATTATATTTCCCTACAAGTTCACACAATTCAACAGCAAAGAGCTTTCTAAATTGATCTCAACAGATCTCAATTTGTAAGGGGAATAATAAAAAAAAAGAATTACACGTTTAAAGAACCCTCTGCACTTCTCATTGTAATCAGTGAATCATTGTGAAACCTGGTAGTAAAAAAATACCATTGAAAAAGTGGGTTAAATCCATTTACAAAGAAAATTACCTGTTGCACTAAATAGATTTTCTCGTCTCCAATATTGCAGTTTTGGAAGTTGATTGGATTTAATTTTATTGCGTTCCTGTAATGGGGCTGACGAGACATGAGGCGTGAGGATCCATGTGCAAGCTTTATTTATAAACACGGTCAGAACACAGGCAGGGTCAAACAATGGCAAACTGGTATGGTATGGGCAAGACACAAGAATAATCCAAGAGCAGACGAGGGTCTCCAATCAGCAAACGACATCCAGAGGGCTAGACAGAGAGAAATAATCCAGGTACACAGTAATAGTCCCAAACAGAGTCCCAACGACAAGACGAGAGAGAGATCCAAGGCAGGCTATAAACTTCAGGGCAGGTAGAGATCAGACAAGAGGAGAAAACAGGCTAAGATCAAAACACGGGTAAAACAGACTACGAACAAGACTAAACTAAACTTTAACTCAGGAAACACAGAATGGCTTGGTAACGCAGCTAACACTAGGAGAGTGATAAATGCAGAACAATACTCGGCGACTAAAGCAGGATCTGGGTAGGTGTTATATAGTGTGTGTAATGGCTTTCAGGTGCTAGTGTGATTGGTTACAGCTGTGTGCAAACAGTGCAATGGATGATGGGAAATGTAGTCCAGGGCATAGTGTAACAGTCTGTGTAGTGTGAGAGTCCATGTAGTGAGCGGGTGACCTCTGGTGGTGAGTGAACGGAAGTTCATAGACCGAATTCGTGATCGTTCCTCATTTGAATTAGAGATATGTGATTTAGCCTTCTGAGATCTTTGAATGCATCTCACCTGAGCTATAAAAACCATGTCAAGCTATCTGTTCCACTCAGATCTTAATACTGACAAAGCAATGCAATGCTCATTCAAGCTTCATATACATGTCTTAAATTTTAGCTTGATGCCCATTTTCAGGGGTTTGTTTGCTTATGTGTCTGAGTGTATGCTAGGATGTACTGTAACCCTTCTTATGACTCTTTGTCATTGCATCTTTTAACAGACATATTCTCATATACAATTAATGACTTTTTGAATCACTGAGATGGGCTGCTGTGCAGTAAAATAGAAACCTCGATCACATGCTGTCTGCTAAGTGCTCTTTCATTTTAGCTTGATGCCCATTTTCAGGGGTTTGTTTGCTTATGTGTCTGAGTGTATGCTAGGATGTACTGTAACCCTTCTTATGACTCTTTGTCATTGCATCTTTTAACAGACATATTCTCATATACAATTAATGACTTTTTAAATCACTGAGATGGGCTGCTGTGCAGTAAAATAGAAACCTCGATCACATGCTGTCTGCTAAGTGCTCTTTGACTGTTTGGGGAAGTGTTGTCTTGGCAACTGTTTTCACCATCTGACACAGAGCCTTAAAGGGGTCATATGATGCGATTTCAATTTTTCCTTTCTCTTTGGAGTATTGCAAGCTTTTGGTGCATAAAGAAGATCTGTAAAGTTGCAAAGACTAAAGTCTCAAATCCAAAGAGATATTCTTTATAAAAGTTAAGAGTCAACCACGCCTACCTAAAATGGCTCATTCTAACACGCCCCCACATGTCTATGTCACGATGTGGGAAGATTTGCATAACGGCGCCCAAATATTCATGCAACGAAAGAAGGTGTAACTTTGATTCTCGCTGTAGTATTGTTGCCGCCGCTGCCATCTTGCGGAGATGCTGTGCGTTTCATTATGAAAGCAAAACTACTTTGTTTGGCCTTCCAAAAGAGGATACAACTATCAGTGGTTAAGTTGTATTTACAACACTGTTCCGGAACAGTTCAACCCAAATATTCAGATGTGTGCAGCGCATTTTATGGAGGACGAGGACTGTTTCCTGGGAGAGTAGCCTACAATGCCGGTGTCTGTTTCTATAAAGTGGGGCAATTCCAACTTTGCAAAGACAGTCTGGCGCTTCATGACTCACAGTCTGTAAGTCCGTTTTCATATTTAAAGAATTTGCCACTGATGATTTAAACGTGAATTTTGAGCAGTGTAGAGTAGGGTTTCACTGGTTTTGTCCCGTCACACGCTTGAGCTATTCGGCCAATCACAACGCACTGGAAAGCTGGCCAATCAGAGCACACCTCGCTTTTCAGACCGATGAGCTTTGTAAAAATTTACGCATTTCAGAAAGGCGGGGCATAGAGGAGAAACAATAAATGTACATTATGTGGAAAATAATGTTTTTTTAACCTTAAACCACATAAACACATTGCATTACACCAAATACACAAAATAATGTTCTTTTTAGCAACGTCATATGACCCCTTTAAAGCATCACATTAACCCCTGACCCTCAAACTTTGTTGACCCCTGACTGACCTCATTTGTCCCAGACCTTTTGCTCAGAGGAACTTGGTTGTTTCCATAGTAACAAAGATGTGGGCTGATCTATGTAGAAAATGAACTGTGATTCACATTTCCTGTCACTTAGCCATATCATCTTTTCTCAGTCATCCTGTTGCTTTGCTGTTTTACTATGACAGGACATGCTTCGCTTTGTTTATGAGGAGTTTTTATTCTTCACATTTGTGAAATTCTCTTGGACTCTGTGCACAATCAATTAGTTCAAAATAGTCTCATATTTAGCCATTTAGTCTTTAGTCTTATTTAGTCCTACAGTAGATAATATTAATAATCAATGTTTATATATACTACTGTTCAAAACTTTGGGGTTTGGGGATTTTCTTTATGTTTTTGAAAGAATTAAAGAATTCTCTTGTGCCTACCAAGGCTGCAATTGTTTGATCAGTAATAACGGTAATAAACAGTAATACTGTGAAGTATTATTACAATTTCAAATAAACTTTCTATTGTAATATATTTTTTTTAATTCTTTTTTTTTCTGTGATGGCCAAGCTGAATTTTCAGCAGTCTTCAGTGCTACAGAAATAATTTTAATATGCTGATTTGTTGCTCAAGAAACATTTCTTATTATTATCAACGTTGAAAAAATTGTGCTTCCATAATATTTTTATGGAAACCATGATAATTTTTTCAGTATTCTTTGATGAATAGTATGTTCAAAAGAACAGCATTTATTTGAAATAGAAATCTATTTAGAAAGACATAAACGTCAATTTCAGTGATTTAATGCATCCTTGCTAAATTGCTAAATAAATAAAAAATACTGGTCCCAAACATTTTGAATGTATGAATAATGTATTTTCTCAGAATTTTGCCCAATGCCGACTTTAACCATTGTAAAGCTGACAAATTCTGCTGCCACCAGCTAGTTATTGTACATTCATCACTTTGGCTCACTGCCCAACACTTAGCACTTTCTCCAGCCAAAATCCTAAAATAACAATGCATCCACAATACTGTTATGCTGCTGATAATGAACAAAACATCAAGTATCTCTCATGCTTATATAATGACATTTAGCTTGTTTTATATAATGACTCAAGGCCAGTCAACCTTTATGTTAATACCATTAAACCATTGTTAAGGTGCAACTGAAACATAATTAAGGTAATTTCATAAGTGTGCATTTGGGTTTTATTCTAACTTTTAACTTGCACCCTTCTCCACTGAAGCTTGTACAGTCATCTGTATCCACTGCGTGATTTCATTCTGGCACGTAACACTCACAGAAAGTGGTTGATGTCCCATCCAGTCTGTCATAACAGCAGTCACCAGCCTATTGTATTTTAACAGTAGTACAATGCAGGTTTCTAGAGAACAGTGATTGGTTGAGGCAGCCTCTCGAAACGGATGCTGACAAATATTTAACATACCTGTAAATCACATGTGACTGTGGACAGACACTTCCTGTCTGAGACAATGCTGTCACTCAGTCGCAGCATCATCGGGAGGAGCCAGGCCATGGAATATCAAATTGAGATAACTAATATTTTCCCAGCTTACTGTTAAATTTTACTTTGCCTCCTGTGGGTTAAATGTGAACACTCAGTGGAGAGACATCTGCCCCTCATCTTGCTGACTCTCGCATATTATTAAAGATTAAATACTCTGTAGTAGAGAAGAATATGTCCCCAATTATGCTATTTTATATCATAGACCACTCTAAATAGGCATATGACACTTGTGATGTGATTACAAGACCCCAGTAAATCTTGTAGTTTTCTCTCTTGTGTGACATGGTTTATTATCGAAGCAGGAAGTTAGGATGGAACTTATTTATTTATTATCCATTCATCCATCTATGCATCAGCCTTTAGTACTTGCTTCTTCCTTTGCTAGTCAAAAGTAGCTGGTATTAAGGACAAAATTTTATAGTAAATAGATAGACTTGACTAGTAAACAGTTTGGATTTAATCTTTATGTATCAATTTCACAGTTCGATCTGTCATGCGCACTGACTTTTTTCTGCATTTACTATAGTCAAAACCATCAAGTTAAGCCAAGGCAATTAGTTCCTATAAAACATACATTAACAAAGTCAACAACTGATTTTTACAATGTGTTAGGTATGCATCAATAGCTATGTTTACATGCAACCGAATAATCCATTTGTAATCAGATTGATGGCTCAATAGGACTGCAAGGCCTTCATGTAAATGTCTCAATCGATCCAACTGTGCTCATCCAAATGAAATTTCAATTGAACTGGAAGGAGTGGTGTAGACCTGGAATAATCTCATAAGTATAAGAGAAATTCTAAAATTCTAACCATCTAACCAACCTAAATTTGTGCTTTTACCAAAGTTACACAATAAACTTTCACTCAGACATTACTACTTTAGTTTTACCGACGTTCATGCATCAAGACAATTCCTGACCCAAGGCAGAAAGTTTTGTTTTCAGGTGTCTGATAGGTCATTTTATTTAATATCTATTTTCACAATGCAATACATTGGATTTTCCTTGGAGGAATTATTTCATCTTGTCTTAAATTGAAAACAGTTAAGAGTAGACTTGTTGGCATGGAAACCAAGTAACGGGGTTTAATTACGCTTGGCTAGTTACGCTTTTAACACAGCAACGACTGGATAAGGGACCTTTCAGCATTCTCTAGGGCAATTGCTTTATAAATTTCAATTAGCATGCTAATATAACCATATTGAATAGCATTGTAGTGTAACTGCATATAATGAGTCTCAAAGAAAACAATAACAACAACAACAAAAAAAAACAGGCACACATGAGGGCATTGCATGAAAGCTAGCAGCTGTTCCACTGCTGATAAAACAGGTAAGTCTTTAGATGGGGACTGTTTTCATTTAGCAATGTGGGTGACAGGGTAAAAACACGCCCCACGGCATTGCAATACTGAGACCTAACATGGTAGAAAACAAGTGGGTGGTCATAGTTTTAAGAGGAATTTGAAAAGAGTGACAGTTGTACCACCTCAGGAAAAAAACAACTACAACACATCTTTGGTATATATATAGATATGTCTATCTTTGTCTGTATTCTGCTTCTAAACTTAATCCAGAAATAAAAGTGGCATCACATATCTTCTGGCGTCTCTGTTCAATTTATCTTATTTTTCTAAGCAGTGGAGTAGCCTATTGATAATTAGAAGATGCTTTTACTCACTTGAGTCTAACTGTGCATTAGAAAAGGCTTAAAATCTGCATATGAATACTTTGACACCCCCCCCCAAGCATGTAAGCTTATTTTATTTCAGATTTTCTATGGTGTTATTTTATATAAAAGTACTTTATATATTTAATATTGTTTTTGCATGTTATTGGTGACATGGGAAGTGTGGGTTGTTGTGGGATATTGCTCATTATTATTATTTTTTTTATTTCACTATCACTGCATACGAATATGCTTACTTCCATATATGTAGCTTGGGCGCTTTTCAGCACTGCACTTATTGTCTTTGTTGGTTTGTATTTCCACAGGGTGAAGATAAGGTTGTACAAATTTATGAATGAATCGCTTGTTTTAAAATCTTCCTGGTATACTGACATTTGTTATGACATCCCCTTCAAACATTACAATGCACATGATAACTTTCGTTAACTAAATATTTCCTGATAATTTACTCACCCCCATGTCGTCCAAGATGTCTTTCTGTCTTCAGTCGCAAATAAATTAAGGTTTTTGAGGAAAACATTCCAGGATTTTCCTCCATATAATGGACTTCAATGGTGGACAACAGGTTGAAGGTCCAAATTGCCGTTTCAATGGGCTCTACACGATCCCAGCCGAAATTCACGCATTACGTAATCACGTTGGAAAGGTCATGCGCGGTTAGCTCTTCGACTGTGAACTCTGGTTCAAAAAGGTAGGGTAGGGCAAAAAACACCATCCTTTAAGCAGTGATGCTATAGAAATATACAGAGCTACCGCAAAAACTGAAGTTCAAAGTCAATATTCTAAAGATGGCTACACACTTGTTTCTATAATGACAAGGTCTGTACAAAAAAATAGTGGTCCAAATTCATATTATTCGAAAAACACCCGGTAAATACCCGGATGACTTACTATTTCCGCCAAGATTGTGGAATGTGCATTCAATGGACACTTTACTATAACATGGCAGATGTAATACATCCAAAATTTATTTATACTACCTACATTCATACTATATAGAGCAAACTTTTTAACTTCTGTGAAGTGTCAAACCCAATACCTTCTAGTAAGTATGCTATTTTAGACACAGTGTAGGCCCATATACTCTGTCAGTTGCACAAATGTGCACAACTCCAATGTGGCAGCAACCATGACAGAGCAACCCGCTTTTTGAGAAATTTTATAAAGTGATGGTCAGTTCTTTTAGTATGAATTTTTTAATTAGCAGAACATTATTAAGTACACCTTTAACATAAAATTAGCCTAAACTGAACACTGCAAATGCAATTCTCTTTCTTTCATTCATACACACTCATGCAAATACAGACAAATGCATATAAATCTTAGGATGAGTAAGAAACACGCACTATTTTCAGTGCGGCTTTTAAGCAATAACAGAGTGGGGTGAAACCTGCCGATGTGATTCACCAAAACGCGCTGCTTGCGAAGGGTAAAACTTGGTAGGTTGTCTCTTTAAATCAGCGCTGCAGCGCCTGCGAGCACAGACGGTTACAACAAGTTCCACCTCTGCAGTGGGTAACTTCAACCACGCGCGCTCTCAACAGCCTCAATAGCCTCTCTCAGCCACGCGACACATGTCATTCAGCTTTCACACACTCCTACAGATTGGTAGATCCCACGCTAAAGTGAAAACTTCCAAAATTCCAAAAATTCAACCCACAAGAAACTTTTTACTTTTCTTCCCACTCATGGCTTTGATAGGGGCCATCATCAGACATGATTCGGGTTCCTTATCGGCCCAATTAACTAATTATTTTAAAGGGGTCATAAGATGCGATTTCAATTTTCCTTTCTCTTTGGAGTGTTACAAGCTCTTGGTGCATAAAGAAGATCTGTAAAGTTGCAAAGACTAAAGTCTCAAATCCAAAGAGATATTCTTTATAAAAGTTAAGAGTCAGCCACGCCTACACTGTTATCCCTGAAATTATTTTAATTCAAAATACTTAGATACAATAAACATAAACTCCAACATTTTTGCACAATTACTCAATTTGTTTAGTTTGTTGTACGATTTGTAAGAGTTTTTTTCATTCTATTGAATTGTTTAAACTGAATGTACTTAACATAGTTTATTCTAGTATGTTGTCAGTGAAACGCAATACAAGGAAGATTTTGATTGGGTCTTTGAACTGACGTCAGGCATGGATGCAGCGCGGATTTTTACATCTGCTGGTGACTGTGAGTAGGACTTTAAATTTTTGTCTCAAACAGCAAATACAGGTGCATCTCAATAAATTAGAATGTCATGCAAAAGTTCATTTATGTCAGTAATTCAACTGAAATTGTGAAACTCGTGTATTAAATAAATTCTATGCATACAGACTGAAGTAGTTTAAGTCTTTGGTTCTTTTAATTGTGATGATTTTGGCTCACATTTAACAAAAACCCACCAATTCACTATCTCAACAAATTAGAAAACTTCATAAGACCAATAAAAAAAACATTTTTAGTGAATTGTTCAAGTTTAAGTCTTCTGGAAAGTATGTTCATTTACTGTACATGTAATCAATACTTGGTTGGGCCTCCTTTTGCATGAATTACTGCATCAGTGCGGCGTGGCATGGAGACAATCAGCCTGTGGCACTGCTCGGGTGTAATGGAAACCCAGGTTGCTTTGATAGTGGCCTTCAGGTCATCTGCATTGTTGGGTCTGGTGTCTCTCATCTTACTCTTGACAATACCCCATAGA